ATATTAGCTAAGAACAGGTTTTACCAATTTCATCAAAATGTTTTGTGCCATAAACTATGCTTCTATGTCTGCCTTCAGCATTACTTAACTAAAGATTTGAACCAGGTCCCCATAAATAGATCGTATATAAATTCACTAAGGATCTGAGCCAGGTCCCCATCTTGCGATTACACTGATATCTTAACTGTACAAGGGTCCTTTCTAGTCATTAAGTAGATTGCAAATATTTGAGAGAGTGACATCTGTTAGGTGAAGTTATTTGCAGCTGAGACACTCACTGTAGATAGAATTTTGGCGTACATCTATGTTACTTTCATTTACTGTGTCTGAGATTTCTTTTGATATTGCGCTTGTGGAAATTGTACATGATCTAAAAACACAAGTAACCATAATGACTGATCCCATGTGCTCAAAACTCAACCTGAATTAGTGTAAAGTACGCTTTTTTAAAGTTATTAAAATAGGGTAAACGAATTTTACCATGCTAGACAAGACCAGCTTCTGAAAGTACAAGGAATGAATTAACAATCATAAGTATGAAAAGAAAATGTTTTGTAAAATTTACCGCTGAAGTCCAAGAAGTGAAAATGACCAAGCGAAGCTAGCAGTTTTCGATAATCGCACATCTGAAGTTAGGCCAAGCTGTCACCCATATTACACCCATCAATCATTCTCTAAAATAAACGGAATTAAAAGTTCTTTTAACAATATCTAAGATTAATCAGATTCCTTAAATAACCAGTATAACCAAGGATGAAAACCGGGGTAAATCCACACTGTTTTAATTCCTTTCCTATCTCCTTCATTTAGTACATTCCAATGAAATCCAGTGAAACTTTTGAAACAAATTGCCTTTTCGGATATTTCTGGAATACATCTGGTTTGTTTTGTAATCCTACGACAAGAGGATGATCTAAGTAAACATTTGTTTTGCTTTTTACTTTGAGTTTATTTTATTTTTTTAATTCGACTGATATCCTTCCTTTATCAACAAATCACCGTTTGAAAAACCAGTGAAAAAAAATATCGACGTTTTCTTTGAGACTACAACTGAAGGCAACAGCAGTTAAGTGGCCAATTAGTGTAGTGATGCCTGTAATGGCACGTCATGCGGATAGTAATGGGTATAACCGGGTAATATCTTAAATATAATGCGGGTAATTGAGCATGAGAACCTGCCCAGGAATGATATCGTTACCTAATCATGCTACTCGTAAGGTCAAGAGTAGTCAGTCAAACTTAAGATGTGTGCCTCGTGGACTGGTCTCCTAAATAGTTTCATTGTTACTTTACATCAACTGATACAAAAGTACCACACAAAAAACAGTGCGAATTAGGTTAGTGGGACGATTCATTATTTCGTTTATTCTGGGGCTACGTCTATAACGAGTAATGTTTCTCACCTCCTCGTTTTTTTTTGGGGGGGTGTGCTGTGAAAGCAGTTTTACGTTTGTTTTTTATTATGATTTTTTAACGTAGCTTTAACAATTTTTCAGTCATATCGCTATGATGTCTGCAGTGTGGCACTTTATAGTGATGTCTAGCACTGGGGCATCATGCCGCAGACATGTAACATGATGTCCCACCCAGTCACATTATCCTGATACCAGGCCGATCAGTGGAGCAGTACATTTGTTTTCTAAGTACTGTAGGGCAAATATGACAAAACTCTGATGAAATCACATATTTACTGGAAGTAGGTTTGTATCTTTTCCATAGTTTTCATTCTTCGTTCAAAGATCATTTTATATACATGGTTATCAAATTAAGGAGCAAACCCTGTTCATAGAATCCGTGTGTGTGTGTGTGTGTGTGTGTGTGTGTGTGTGTGTGTGTGTGTGTGTGTGATATAACGTAACTTTAATTTTTTTTCAGTCATATCGCAACGATGTCTGTCGTGTGACACTTTATAGTGATGTCTACTACTGCAGCATCATGCTGCAGACATCTAGTATGATACTCATTAACATTATCCTGACACCGGACCGACCAGTCCAAATACTAAACTCATTACTGAGCGCATGGCGAGGCAGCTGTTAGTACCATTTTTTGTCTTTGTTGTGACTAAGCCGTGGAGGACACTCAAACTATTAGGCTACTGGAGGGGTTTTGAATAAGTCTGATAAAATTAAAGAACTGGATAAGCCAGATTAAAAGGAATCAAAACACTTAAGGGCTTAAGCATTTAATTTTGTGGAGGAGGGATAGGGGCTGGAATATATTTTTTAAGTCAGGCTGTCATAAATGTATCATATGCGTTATTTTAATACTAAAATATATTGATTTCAAATAAACAAATTATGCCGGCTCTCCAACCTCCCCAATTAAATTATTTCTCCTAAAAGAAAAAAGAACGATAAAGCAAATTTGAAAATCATCATGAAACCTCAGCTTTGCCCTTTCATTTAATATTCATTTTACTGCATATTGAACTAAAATGCAGGTAGTATTTCAAATTTGTTGATGGACACTAACATTATAGCCAATGGATATGGTGCTTTTGGGAACTAATCTGTCACGAATGAAAATATATTGACTAATTAAAGAAATGTGAAGACTACCACGTGCTGCACAAGAAAGAAACAGGGATTGTTTGCTCTCATAAATGGACACCGTGTAACACAATCGTATCTAGGGTTTGTGAATGGCTGAGTGTCAGCTATCTGCTATTTCATACAAATATATATATAAAATTACGTAGATAATGTCAGGCTTGTATTCAGAGTTTACCTGAAAAGAAACCTATGAACGACACAACAGAAAAGGTTGATCAACAAAATATTTAAATATTTCGCACGGATTTTAGAGTCCCTAAAAACATGTGTAATCTTGAACGTTTATGAAACGGACAACTGATTACCAGTCATCAGTAATGCAACATCATTTGTAGTTTACTATGTGAGACATTTCGTGGAATAAATAGTGATTGCTTGTACTGGCAGGTGGTTGTAAAAATAGTTGTTAAATGTGAGATTTTACTTATATATATATATATATATATATATATATATATATATATATATATATATATATATATATATATATATATATATATATATATATATATATATATATATATATATATATATATTATTATATATATATACATACATACATACATATATATAATGTTATTTTGAATTAAAAGCTGGAATAATATTGTCAGTGATTCAGCAAAGGACTGTTGACACAGCAGCACTTAGCTGGCCACAACAGATGTCATCGATTTCCATTTTGGATTTCATTGGGACTCGAGGTCACTTTCATTCAGAACTTTGTATTACTAGTCCTTCTATTTTTAAATCTTGGATTATTTCTGGATTTATTCGTAAAAAATGTATGTATTTTTTTCCTAATTTTTCACTTTGTGTTCAGTAGAAATAAATTATTTGTTAAATTTTACAAAGCTTGTTGTCTTCACCTTTTTCTGTTTTTTTTAAAGCATTGACTCGTAACAAAGGGCTATGCTAATTACAGATAACAAGCTGGGTAAAAAATTGAAAATTGAATTTCTAAAGATTTAATCCTGGAGTTTCGATTGAGAACAGAGAAAACCAGGTCACTAGAGCAGTGGATTCAGAGAGAAACCCTGTAGTGAAGATACTAGGAAAAACAAATGTTCTCAAAGATTGTTATAAGGCATGACTCAATGAACGGATTGCTGACTACCCTAAAAGATGGTAAAGCAATATCTCCTAACTCTATATATTGATGTGTCCACCCTACAGCGATAATCCCTAATTATAGATCATGATGTGTCCATTATACAACAATAGTCCTTAATTATATCTCCTGATATGTCCATTGTACAGCGATAGTCCCTAATTATATATTCAGATGCCTCCATCGTACGTATTTCATTTTAAGATTGTTATTCATTCATATAACAGCGATATATTATTTTTAAATAAAAGCATCTCCGAAGTAGAAATTTAAGTTTTCTACTGGAATCTTCGAAATATTTAAATGTTTCAATAAATGAGATGAAATATGTCGATTGTATATACGCGATTGGCATCAAAACTTGTGCCATATCTTCATTTGATTTATACTTCCTATAAGGGAAATAAAATCTACGTATCCACCACTGCTTCAAAAATTAAAAACTTTTTTATTTTTGACTTCTAATGTTCATAACTTTGTACAAAGCATTTAGCTTTATTTATCATTATATGGATTTTTATCATTATTATTATTGTTATGTGGATATTTATGATTATTTGATTATATATCACTATGTGGATATTTTTCATTATGTGGTTAATATTTATCATTCTACCTATATATATATATCATTGTCAGTATGTGGATATTTATCACCACGTGGATATTTATCATTATCTTTATGCGGATATTTATCATTATGTGGATATTTATGATTATTTGGTTATATATCACTATGTGGATATTTTTCATTATGTGGATATTTATCATTCTACCGATATGTATCATTGTTAGTATATGGATATTTATCACCTCGTGGATATTTATCATTATCTTTATGTCGATATTTATCATTATCAGATGTGGATATTTATCATTACTATTATTTGGATATTTGTCATTATGTGTATATTTATCATTATGTGTGCCATTATCATTATCAGTATGCTAATATTTATCATTATGTGTATATTTTTTTCATTATTTAGATATTTATCATCATCTGGATATTTGCCATTTTTGGAAATTTATCATTATCAGTATGTAGATATTTATTATTATGTTGATATTTATCCTTACGTGGATATGTGATTCTGTGTGTGATTTAGATTTTTTAACGTAGCTTTAAAAAAAATTTCAGTTATATCGCTACGATGTCTGCAGTGTGACAATTTATAGTGATGTCTAGCAGTGGGACATCATGCTGCAGACATGTGGCATGATTTCCCATCCAGTCACATTATCCTGACACCACGCCAACCAGTCCTAACACTAACCTATTAATGCTGAGCGCCAAGCAAGGCAGCTGTTAGTACTACTTTTGTAAGTCTTTGGTATGACTTGGCCGGAGTTCGAACCCACGACCTTCCGCATATTAGGTGGACGCTCTAACCACTAGGCTACAGAAGCGGTTACGTGGATATGTATCATTTTCATTATTTGGACATAAATCATTACCATTATGTGGATATTTATCATTATGTTAATATTTATAATTACCATTATCATTATTTGCATTTATAATTATCATTATCATTATTTGCATATATACTATTTTGTAGCTTTGAAGAAAATTGATATTGATGTAGGGTCTATCACCGCTCTCATATCCTACAACTGTGACCTTTCTGTATCAAAGCTGTGATTACTTAACAACTAAATATAAGTATTTCACAATCCCGAGGCAATTATCTTCAAGGCGATGCGTTTGTATAACTTCACCCAGTAACCTACAGACGTGCCAGTTCGGGACAATATATGGTCATATTATTCAATATCAAGTCTTGAAATTTGGATGCCTCTACCATGTTGTTGCAAAGGTACTGTTGCTCTATCCAAACCGCCATGTTGACATTTTGTTACAAATTTGAAATGATTGTAAATATCCATTATGTTTTGGATCTATTATTTGCCTAACATTTACTGAAATCAGAATCATAAGAACACTTACATGCTTCGGGATATTATGACTTCCTGCATTTTTCCTGACTTAATTTCCTCGTATATCTTAATTTCAAACGATGTTGGAAAATGGGTATTTCTTGCATAACGGGTTTTATTTACAAAAAGAAGAGAAAATGCAAATATGAACGCTAAAGGCAGAATAAGCAGGGTTATGAGACTAAATATGATTTTAAGACAGAAATCAAGCTACTGATATTGTATAATATTAACCTTGATATTGTGTAATATTATCCTTACTACTGCGAAATATTAACCTTCAATTTTTGTTTTAGTTGTGTTCAAGTTCCTCACAATAAAGCTTTACAAAGTCTTCACTCTCTTGACAAAAACAATTTGATTATTAACAGCAAACATTGCAACATATTCTTACATCTTTTTTCCTAGTTTGCACTGTTACTTTCTGTCTCTTTTTGTGATTTTAACTTGTTAAAAACAAGTGCAATAAAAGCATCTGTCGTTGAGAGCACTCGTTTGTTTGTTAAAGCATAAAGCATAACAAATAGTCGATACCCAGACAATTTACTTTATAGGTAAAAGGAACCAATCTGGGTGGCAGATTTGTCTAGACAGATTTCACAATACAAAAACGTTTTTGTTAGATCCTTGAACACCATGTGGTATAGAAACTAATCAGTTCCAGCTCAGATAACGCATCAGATTAATCAATTGAACTTTCTATCAAGGAAATCAGGATTCAATACACGTTCTATCTTTACAAAGTGGGACAGGTAATCGTAATTTTGTGTTACATAATTGTAAAAGATCTACAATAAAGGAGATGAGTTTTGTTTAGCTTGAAAACACTTAATGATGGATACCAGTCAAGTCTAAACAAATACACTTATCGCGCGCAGAGACAACATATGACATAAAAGTCCTGAATAATTAAATACTTATATCTTATTGTCTTGTAGACTTGTGCCGTGTTATGTTTTTCCTAAAAGGTCTTTGTGATGATGACGACGGAAAATGTCGTCTGCAGCAGAGACTAATCTTCTGGATGAAAATGTATCATTTCAAAAGTATCATTTCAAAAGTGATTGTTGTTGTTGTTGTTGTTGTTGTTGTTGTTGTCCTGGGGCTTGACGCCATTTTGCAGCACACAATAGGCTATACATACTAACTTATAATTTCGAGAAATGTTCAGTCACACTTTTCTAATTAGAAGCATTATTGGGATTGGTCATGCAGTCAAGCACATATGGGCCTCCGTTCAGTCACACTTTTCCAGTTATAAGCAGTCGTGGCCTCCGTTTACGTAGTCTGACTTTCCTCAGGTATAAGCAATATGGGTCTCTATTCAAATATACTTTCCTCAGTTATAAGCAATATGGGCCTACGGTGACATTGTCAGTCTTCCTCAGTTATAAACAATATTGTCTCCGTTCACACAGTCAGACTTAGTTATAAGCAATATTGGCCGGTCATCATACAGTCAGACCTTCCTCAGTTGTAAGCAATATTAGCCACTGTTAACACCGACTTATTGATAAGCAATATTTGCCACAGATCATAGTCAGAATTTCCTCATTTGTAAGCAATGTAGACCTACGTTCATACAGCCAGGCTTTCCTCAATTACAAATACGCAATATTGACCTCAGATCATACAGACTTTTAATAATTATAAGACCTCTATTCGTACGATTAGCCTTTCGTGAATGACGAGTAATACGGACCTCCAATTGCTACAGTCAGCCTTTCGTGAATGACGTGTAATACGAACTTCCAATATCTAGTCAGCCTTTCGTGAATGACGAGTAATACGGACCTCCATTCGTACAGTCAGACTTTCGTGAATGACGAGTAATACGGACCTCCATTCGTACAGTCAGCCTTTCGTGAATGACGAGTAATACGGACCTCCATTTGTACAGTCCGCCTTTCGTGAATGAACAGTAAGTAATACGGACCTCCATTCGTAAAATCAGACTTTCAAGTTGTATTAAACTTGTGTTAGAAACTTCGCATTTTCCTGTCAATTTGGTGTCTGGAAATATTTTAAAACGTCTCTTTCAGAGAACAAGTCCCCAAAAGGTAGAATAAAAGCGCTTCGGACATTTATAACTGGGCAATTAAAAAAAACTTTATTTCTTCATTTACAAAAAGAGTCATTGAGTCATTGAGTTGGAATGTGTTTATTTAGTATGGTGCCCGATTTAGTCACTCGTTAAGACTGGATGCTTGTTTTCTACGTGTGTTATAGTTTCTTCTCTAAATAATCAGTCATGAGTTGACTCTCATTAAAACGAGCATACTTCGTTATAACTATATCTACGACATACACGTTATCATTAGGCCATTTTCTGATAAAAGTACGTGTTTTCGAAATCTTTTGAAAACCATGAATCTCTTGGACAGCAATATTTATGTGTAATGAAAAGGAAAAACGGGAACAAGATAAATTTTTGGTTCTGATCTCTCTTTTTTGTTTGATTAATTTATTTTACATTGGAATATCGCCACTTGGCTGCTTCTGTATTCTTCTCTATAATCTGATCTAAACGCGTTTTTCACTTTTTAAAGTGATGTACAAGGATTTGTTTTAAGTGAAAGGCGGACATTATGGAGATAATATAATATAGAATACAGTCACAGTTCTCACAAGCGTTAAGATACATGGGTAGATCGTTCAGAGAGTGCAACAACTTTCATGATGTATGTAACGTGTAGAAAAAAACTATCAAACAATGGAAAGAATAATTGATCAGACAAAACACGATCGATCGCTTTTAAATAATCACACACACACACACACACACACAGACACACATATATATATATATATATATATATATATATATATATATATATATATATATATATATATATATATATATATATATATATAATGTACGGTGTATCAATGATATACCACGAGATTTTTACATTTTTCATTAAAAGGAAACGAAGCTTGCTGAGTTTCCTTGTAATGAAAATTGTATACAACGAGTGGTTTATCATTTATATACCGTACATACTATACATATATTTTATTTATACCACATACCCTGGGGGTCATAAACTGTACACTGTAGGGGAGTGAACTCTTCACAACCCCTTGTATGTATGTACGCTCATAAAAGAAGTTCCATAGTCGCTATTAATTTCGTATACATTTCATTTACATTATTTGCTTTATGTTTCTTTTAATAATATTAAGTGAAATGAAAACAAATGGCTGATAGCTAACATTATTTTGTTTTTTAAAATAATGTGCAGGCCAACATTAAATATGCAGCGTTCGTCGTCACGAACAGTAACAGTGCGGCCATTTTCATCTGTACGTAGACTACGATTCGAGACAGAAACATCAAAATAATGAAGGATCAATAGATAATGGAACAATTTAACCCTAACTACATTTCGTTAGTATCGTATCTGTCCATATTTCCCAATTCATATTGACTGTCCGTGTCACTTTAATTTATTCTCCTACGTTTTCGCTGTGTGGGCCCCGTTAGAGAAGTCGTCTGTTGCAAAAGGTTGACCAAGTTACGGATCTTTCACATTTTCCCGAGGTTCGTAACAAATGTGTTTTGTACGGTGATGCTTGATCCGTGGAATGGGATGCTGATAATCTGATTCTGTTAAATATTACACGTTTGGGAACTTGATACACTAGAGTCTGTTGCTGTGCAGTTTGAAATTTCTTTGCTGTGGGGGTGGAGGATGACAAGATCATGACTTGGGTGGCCGGTGTTGCTCGGGTAATTGGAATAAGTCTGTTGTTGTTTGTCACTAGTGTTTGGGTAGCTGTTTATAGACTGTACATTTCTGTGGCCTGAAATTTGCATTCACATCTTTCTATAGTGTAACATCCCCACCGCCATTTCAGATCGTAATGTTTAGTCACTTCCCTTAGACCAAATGTCACGGAGCTGTTACACAACGTGTTAACAGTGGCTTTCAGTGCTTCCATCCCCATTAGCTTTGCAATACAGGACATTTATTTTATCGTTAGTGATTGGTTGACTCCTATTGGTTTTATTTTCTTTTCTTTTAGATTTTAAATCTGTTTGCTTAGCAGGAAGAGCTACCCTTGTTAATGCAAAATTTGTGTCATTTCCTCTCATGATTGAACTTGCATATTTCTTGATTTTAAGGTGGCGATCAAAGGAGCTAATCATGCTAAGTGTTTGCGTTCTGCTTAATTTCTATAAATTTCAATAAATCATCAGGCTTATGTTGGACAAAGAATGATCATTATCGTTAACAAATGTCTCAGCCATGTCTCTATCAAACACTTTAATCAACTCACAGTTTAGTAGATTAAATGTTGCTTTATTATGTTGATCCTTATCTAATGTCATTGTTTCCTTTTTTCAGTGTTGCACAGTGTTTGATTTTTGCAAGAGGGAGAGACTAGAAGCATCAGTTTTGACAGAGATGAGAGCAAACGACACAGGGTGGAGTTTAGTAACATTTATTTCCAGGATTAAGTAT